CAAGAGGGAAGAAACAGATAACATTCAAAGGAAAACCAATCAGGCTGACATCAGATTTCTCTGAAGAAACACTACGGGCAAGGAGAGAGTGGAGGGACATAGTCAACAGACTTCAAGAAAACAGATGCCAACCAAGAATACTCTATCCCGCAAAGCTCTCCTTCCTCTATGATGAAAGAATAAGGACCTTCCCAGACAAACAGAAACTCCGGAATTTCATTACGACTAAACCCCCACTCCAAAAAATACTACAAGGAATCCTAAAGCCAGAACCTCAGAGGGATGAATAACAACGAAAGAAGGCCAAAAAAAAAAAAGTTATTAAAAGAATAAATAAATAAAATCAAAGGAAAGACAAACACAATGGCAAATACAGATGCTAACATATCAATATTAACTCTAAATGTAAATGGACTAAACTCTTCAATAAAAAGACACAGAGTTGCAGCCTGGATTAAGAAACAAAACCCAACCTTTTGCTGTCTCCAGGAAACACATTTAGCTACAAAAGATAAAAACAGGCTCAAAGTTAAAGGATGGAAAACAATCCTACAAGCAAATGGTCCAAAAAAGAAAACAGGAACAGCTATACTTATATCAGATAAAACAGACTTCAAACTCAAAAAAATAAAAAGAGACCCCAATGGTCACTACATTATGATCAAGGGGACAATACTTCAAGAAGAAATAACACTCATTAACATATACTCACCAAACGAAGGAGCACCAAAATATATCAGACAACTGTTGTCCTCTCTGAAAACAGACATCAGAGAAAACACATACGTAGTGGGAGACTTCAACACACCACTATCAACAATGGATAGATCAACAAGACAAAAAATAAGTAAAGAAACTAAAGCTCTAAATAAGGGCCTAGAGCATTTGGGCTTAACAGACATCTATACAACACTAAACCCAAAAAAAACCAGAATACACATTTTTCTCAGGTGCACACAGATCATTCTCCAGGATCGATCACATACTGGGGCACAAGACAAACATCAACAGATACACCAAGACTGAAATCATACCAACCATCTTTTCTGACCATGAAGGCATCAAACTAGAAATAAACCATAAAAAGAAGGCAAGGAACTATCCTACCTCATGGAGATTAAAAACCACACTACTGGAAGACCACTGGACTAACGAGGAGATCAAAGAAGAAATTAAAAAAATCTTTGAATTGAATGACAAGGAGGACACCAATATCCTAAATGTATGGGATGCAGCAAAAGCAGTAATAAGAGGGAAATATATAGCAATAGAAGCTCACATCAAAAAACAAGAAAGAACTCAAAGAAACAACCTAATCTCGAAGCTCAGAGATCTAGAAAAAGAACAACAAAAAGACCCCAAAACCAGTAGAAAAAAAGAAATAATAAAAACCAAAGCAGAAATAAACGAAATTGAAACTAAAAAAACAATCCAAAAGATCAATGAAAACAAGAGTTGGTTCTTTGAAAAAATCAATAAAATAGACAACCCCCTAGCCAGGCTCACAAAGGAAAAAAGGGAGAAAGCACAAATAAACAGGATCATAAATGAAAGAGGAGAAATCACAACGGACACAGCAGAAATCAAAAGAATAATCAGTAGGAGACAAGTTCAACAATGGAAACAAGTTCAACAATGGAAACAAGTTCAACAATCTAGAGGAGATGGAAAAATTCCTACAACTCTACAATCAACCAAAGCTAGATAAAGAAGAAATAGAACACCTAAACAGACCAATTACAAGCAGCAAAATTGAAATGGAAATCAAAAACCTCCCCAAAAACAAAAGCCCAGGACCTGACGGATTTACAAATGAATTCTACCAAACATTCAGAGACGAATTAGTGCCTATCCTTCACAAACTCTTCCAAAAAATTGAGAAGGAAGGGACAATACCAAACACGTTCTATGAAGCCAATATTACACTAATACCAAAACCGAACAAGGATAACACAAAAAAGGAAAACTACAGGCCAACCTCCCTAATGAACACTGATGCAAAAATCCTCAATAAAATTTTAGCTATCAGAATCCAACAATGTATCCATAAGATAATTCACCACGACCAAGTAGGATTCATTCCAGGGATGCAAGGATGGTTTAACATCCAAAAATCAATCAACGTTATCCAACACATCAACAAAAGAAATATAAAAACCATATGATAATATCAATAGATGCTGAGAAAGCTTTTGACAAAGTGCAACACCCATTCATGATAAAAGCCCTTGAAATTCGTGGGATACAAGGAACATACCTCAACATCATAAAGGCCATCTATGACAAGCCAACAGCCAGTATCATTCTCAATGGTGAAAAGCTGAAAGCAATTCCATTAAGATCTGGAACAAGACAAGGATGTCCACTCTCACCACTGCTTTTCAATATAATACTGATAGTCCTAGCCAGAGCAATAAGACAAGAGAAAGACATACAAGGAATCCAAATAGGAAAAGAAGAAGTCAAACTATCTCTATTTGCAGATGATATGATAATATACATAGAGAACCCCAAAAACTCCACAGAAAAACTAATTCAACTCATCAATCAGTTCAGTAAAGTGGCAGGATACAAAATCAACACGCAAAAGTCAGTAGCCTTCCTATACACAAACAATCAATCTGAAGAAGAAGAAATCCAAAAAACCATCCCTTTTATTATTGAAACAAAAAAAATCAAATATTTGGGAATAAATCTAACAAGAGGTAAAGGACCTATACAAAGAAAACTATAAAACACTGTTAAAAGAAATAGAAGAAGACACAAAGAAATGGAAAGACATCCCCTGCTCATGGATTGGAAGAATAAACATTATTAAAATGGCCATCCTACCAAAAGCAATATACCGATTCAATGCTATTCCAATCAAAATTTCAATGTCATTCTTCAAAGAAATAGAACAATTATTGGTGAAATTCATATGGAATCACAAAAAAACCCCGAATAGCCAAACCTCTCCTGAAAAAAAAAGAAAGGAATGGAGGCATCACACTCCCAGACTTCAAACTATACTACAAAGCCATAATCATCAAAACTGCATGGTATTGGAACAAGAACAGACATACAGACCAATGGAATCGAATAGAAAATCCAGAAATAAACCCACAGATTTATGGTCAACTAATCTTTGACAAAGGAGCAAAGACTATGCATTGGAGCAAAGAAAGTTTGTTCAATAAATGGTGCTGGGAAAACTGGGTCGCTACATGCAAAAGAATGAAGCTTGACCACTACCTCACACCATACACAAAAATCAACTCAAAATGGATTAAAGAACTAGACATAAGACCTGAAACCATAAAATATATAGAAGGAAATATAGGCGAAACACTACGTGATTTGCACATCAAAGACATCTTTACGGACACATCACCCAAAGCAGTGATAGTGAAGGCAAAGATAAACAGCTGGGACTACATCAAATTAAAGAGCTTCTGCACAGCAAAAGAGACAATAACAAAAACAAAGAGAAACCCCACCAACTGGGAGAACATTTTTGCACCAAACACTAATGATAAAGGACTGATCACAAAAATCTGCAAAGAGCTGATGAGACTCAACAACAACAAAGAAAATAATCCAGTCCAAAAATGGGCAGAAGAGCTAAAAAGAAACTTCTCTGAAGAGGAAATGCAAATGGCCAACAGGCATATGAAAAAATGTTCAACATCACTTGTAATCAGGGAAATGCAAATCAAAACTACCATGAGATACCATCTTACACCAGTGAGAATGGCACATATTAAAAAAACTAGCAACAACAAATGTTGGCGAGGGTGTGGAGAAAAAGGAACTCTTCTGCACTGTTGGTGGGAGTGCAAACTGGTCCAACCACTATGGAGAGCTGTGTGGAGATTTCTGGACCTACTAAACATAGAGCTTCCATATGATCCAGCAATTCCACTCCTAGGTATTTACCCAAAGGACACAGAAACATCAATTCCAAAGAACACCTGCACCCGTATGTTTATAGCAGCACAATTTACAATAGCTAAGCTTTGGAAACAGCCCAAATGCCCAAAAATAGATGAGTGGATCAAGAAGATGTGGTACATATACACCATGGAATATTACTCAGCATTCAAAAAAGATAAACACATGCAATTTGCAGCAACTTGGATGGCGCTGGAAGGGATCATGCTCAGCAAAATAAGCCAAAAAGAAAAAGAAAAATACCGGATGGTCTCACTCATAGCAGGAATCTAGAAAACTTAAATAAGGGACCAGGAAAATGAATAACTATAAGAAAGTGAAAATCAAAATCAACAAAAAACTATGAAACAGAGACACTTTTGAGGGGTGGGGGGCGGGAGGGGAGGGATTGGGATCAGAATGGGGGGGTTGCAATTGTATGGGGAATATAAAAATAAAATTTATTATATAAAAAGAATAAATAAACAAAAATATTGAGGATGCTATGGCTTTCATGGTTTAATTTAAGGATATGGTCTATCATTCAACTACCACAAAACTGTCTTCCGCCTTTACCTTGACAGAAAATTATGTCACTGAAATCTTTCCTAATACCATCTCACTTGCAGAATAAATGGAAATACCTGATCAGAGATTTTGCAAAAAATATGACACTCCAATCATTACTTTCAATCATTGTAAATATTTACCTTTCCCATTAATTAAGGACAAACAGAAGAAACCCCTGGATGGTAACTGTTCACTAAAATAAGCATTCCTGCAAATTGCTGGTGGTAGCAAAAAGTATTACAGGATTTTAGAAAGTAACTAGATGGTATGTAGTAAGATATTTTAAAAATTAATATTTACTAATAATTCCAGTTCAAGAATTCCCTTCTACCAAAAACTTTTTAATTACAATAGAGTCTTTGACTATAATAGGAAATTGGATGCAGCCTGAGGTTTTATTTTGTTCAGATATACACCTTGAAAGCCCTCCTTGCACCTTGCACATTCTTTGCATTTCTTCCTTGACATATGTCTTAGTTGAAGCAAATACACATCTTAGAAAAGAATATATCCCTGTACTCCTCTTCTTCTGCATTCCATGCAGCTGACAGGTTGCTGCCATGAGTAAAAAAAAAAAAAAAAAAGGTTACCACATGGGTGCTAAGCATTTGAGAACAAGGGAAATATATTTGGCACACTTACACAAAAGTACATATACTTAAGGTGGGGGAGGGGCTGACCCTTTTCTGGCCAGTGGCTCTTCTCAGAGTGAAGGCCAGAGAGTAGTTTTAGGGTCTTTATTTATTTAGCTTAACATACAATTAATACCCTAATGGAATACTGGGAGAGGACATATAATCCACTGAGTTTTAAAAGAAAATTTAAATGCCAAAAGCAAATTTTAAGCAAATAGCACCAAGCCTAAGTAGGCATTGTTAAAATAAATAAATGCCATTACCTAGGAGTGTTTCAAATATCTTGACCACAGATTACTGTTTTAAATTAAGTGTTCAGAGTACCTAGTTGTTTTTTTTTTTTCTTTTTTTTTTTTTTAAATATTAAATTTTATTTTTATATTCCCCCATACAATTGCAAACGCCCCATTCTGACCCCAATCCTTCCCCTCCCGCCCCCCACCCCCCAAAAAGAGTACCTAGTTGTGAACAGATTTTATATTTCTTTGGAAAGTCAATGTATATAACTTTAATTGCATCATTTCTTTTAATAAAACCATATTGGGGATCTCTTACTCTCCATTTCTAAGTCCGTCTTCCTTTTAATATATAATGGTTCCAAGGAAAGCAAATAGAATGACTGGGAAAATAGGTAGTATAAAAAAAGAAAAATGACTTTGTTTTCACTTGTGGACTCCTTTAACTGATGGCATCTGCTGCACTTGATTAATTTATTACGTGGACAAAAGTATCCACTGAAAATATCAGAGATATCAACTTCAGGATGTAGAGAAATAGAAATGACAGTCAATGGTGCAAGGATGAAATCTTAGGTCTGCTACTTAGAGAAAGCCTAGAGTTAGAACCGCATGCAAGTTTGCAAGCCACAAAAACACTGTAGAAAGAAGAAATAATGGCAGTTGCATACTGAGACTGCCTCTCGAAAACCGAGAGGTTTCATTTACATTTAAAACTATGAATGCAATTTAATTGGTCTCCCCTTCCAGAGTCAGCGATGAGGCCTCTTGCTCAGTCAGGCTGTGCTTTGCTGTGGCTTATGTGTGAACAGCTACATGCTGAGGGTCTTGCAGTCACTCTTTACATCAAAGCTGTAAGTCAAACTTCTCCAGTGACTTTAAAGCAAGTTAAATAAACACCCATCAAGGAAAAGAGGAAAAACTGTGAGCTAGAAGAACACAGAAAATTCAGAACAGCAAGAAGCAGCGGGTATCGTAGACCGCCACCTCGCCGGTCTCCCCACACTAGGCAGGGCTCAAGATGCGACTTTCCCAAATTTCTAAGAATCAGGTGATAGAGAATAAAAGAAACTGCTCAGGTCCCCCTTTAAGGACTAGTTGCTAAGCTAAAAGCAACGTAGTCAGCACCGAGCCTCTAGCTGACAGCTCCTTCAAGGTGGGCTTCTTCTGCTCAGAGCAGCTTTGCCCCTGCTCACACCCTTCTCAGAAGCCTGCATCAGTGACCGAGCAAACTGGCAACATGAAGGTAGGTCCCGTATGTATCCGATATGATTCCAGCAGCCCTTGTGCATCAGAACCACAATAAAATAAATAGAAAAAGAGTATGAAATACAGAATAAAATAATACCAGGTGATAGGATTAATATGAAAAGCAACTTCTGTAAAATCCTGTGCACTTGTTAGCAGTGGCTACAAATTTGAGCTTAATAAGAAATGTGCCCTCTGAATTAATGATGAATGAATGAGTGAGAGAATGATGGAAAATGTAAAGACTATAAAAATTAATAGAAAATGTAAAGCTATTTGAAGATGTGAAAAGAGAAATCATGATTTAGATTATAAAGGTAATCTTCCAAATATTCTTCCCAAACTAATTTAAAATTTTAAAGCTATTCTAATCAAAAGCCCACAGGTTTTAGGGAAGTGATAAAATCAGGCAGGAATTCCTTCTGAAAAACAAGATTAAAATATGTGATGAAATGGGAAGGAGGAAAAAAAGATGGTATTGTTAGGGGGAAAGGATATCCTGAGCAAACTCCATACAGGCTTTGTGGATGCCACCCCCACTCTGTCAAGACACTGGGAACTACAAATCCCATGATCCCCAAAGGGTAGTTGTGAGGACTTAAGGGTGGAGCTAGGTAGCCATTTTCTCTGTTTGTAAATAAAACCAGCCATGTTAGTGGGGTCTCGGGCACTTGGCTCCTGCTCTTGGCCAGGCAGGTTTGGTCTCTGCAGGTCATTTGGGATTCCAGGACTGCGGAATGGGTAGGACATATTTAAGAATTTATCTCCCTCTTTTCTCCCTGAGTTGTACATTTCCTCATTCCCCTTCCCTTGTAAATAAATCTTTTGTTAACCTTTTGTGTGTGCCTGCAGTGTAAGTCCTTTTTAAGTGCAAGGGTGAGGACCCACAGTCAGGCAACCCGTTTTAGATTGGGATGGCCCTGTAAGAGTATCACTCATAATAAATGTAAGAGGCAGAAGCATACACAAACATACTGTTAGAATTTAGTGCAAAAAAAAATCATTTTTATTGATTTTTATGATTCTGAAATTTTAGTAAGGCTCAGAATAAACAGCTTATTCCTACTTCACATTGTGTTAACTACAGCAATTCAGCAGGGGCTGGAGATTCTAAGTGGGCTTTGGTCATGTAAATGATACTTTATCTGGGTGGCTGGATTGAATGGTGACTAGCTGGATTCCAGTCTCTCTCCTCTCTCCTTCAGTAATCTAGCCTGAATTTCTTTACATTGTGACTGATTTCGAGAACCAAACAGAGCTAGAGAGCCCTTTAAGTCTCACAACTGGCACAGCTGCATTCTACTGACCAAAGCACAACATGCAAGCCTAGGTTCAAAAAAAGGCACATAAACTCTACCTCTTGATTGAAAAAATGTCATGTATATAGCTCTGGTGAAACCTTTCCCAGAGTGAACCCAAGGACCCTGCACTCCAAACCCATTAACTCAAAAAACGACAGTCAGAATGATCTTGCTACATTGGTCATTTTCACTTCTGTAGACAACCTACCAGTTTTAAACCAATTGTTTAAACCAATTGTTTAAAACTTCATCAATTGTTTCATCTTCAAAATGTATGGTGACTTATCTCTTCTTTTTTCCTTACCCTTCTGGCTAGGGTTTAAAACCAGTAATAAAAACCAGTAATAAAAACCAGTTTAAAACCAGTAATAGCATTTGTTATTTTTATACTACAGTGTACATGCACTGCCAGGCCAGGTAGATTTTGCAGACTAATGCTACCAAGTAGAATTCTTCCAGAAAACATAAAAAACAAATGCATCCCAACTCATTTTGTAATAGTTATATAATCTTGATTCCAAATGCATAGAAAGGTAATACAAATACATAGAAAGTAAATGTAAGAAAGGAGAATAAGCTCGTTATTTCAAACATAAATCAAAAAGTACCTAAATAAAATATTATCAAAATGAATCCATCAATGTATAAAATAAATAACACATGTTCAATTGCAGATGGGTGCACACCTGAAAATCTAGTTAGTGGAATTCAATCACTTCAACAAAATAAAAGAGGAAAGAAATGAATAGTTCAAGGATGAGGGAAATAATTTTGTATTATTTGAAAATACTTTTAGTTTTAATCACTCAAAAATAATTCATAAATAATGAGTAAAATATTATATGTGCATTATAGCTTGAGTCATAAAAATATTTCACAATTTTAAAGAACTCTTAGAAAATAAAAATAAAAATGAACTCCCTTAACCTGCTAAAAAGAATCCACTGAAAACCTACATCACCCCAAATGGTGAGAAGTTGGAACATTCCTTTTGAAGACAGGACTTGATAAGGGTACCCACAGTAAATACTTCTATTCAACACTGTGCCAGAAGCCCTAGCCAGAAGGGTAAGGAAAAAAGAAGAGATAAGTGACAAACTTGTTGAAGATGAAAAAACAAAACAATTGGTATTTCCCAACGATATTTTTTTCCACTTAGAAACACTTCAAATTAACTACTAGAGCAATAGAATATAGTTTAGGAAAGTAATATAAAAGATCAATATATAAAATCAATTTTATTCTTATATATTAATAATCCAGTAGGGTTGGTATGAATTATTTGAAAATAATAGAAAATTAGTTGTTTTGTAAATTTAAAAGAAAACTTACCTCAATTCCAAATAAGCTCTTATGATTAATGTTAACTTTTTTGACAAACCTATTGGACTACCAGAAGTTATAGGTGAATATTTTTGTAAATGGGAAGTTTCTAAATGTAAAAATCACAGAGAGTCATAAAGTCAAACATCAATAAATGAGACTCTATAAAGCATGTTAAATTATATTAAAAAATCATAACTTAAGTGATGAACTGGAAATACAGCCATAAGCTTTTTTTAAATTTTTTTTATTTTTATATTCCCCATACAATTGCACCCCCTTTATTTTGACCCCAATCCCTCCTTTCCCCATCCCCCCCATAGTGTGTCTCTGGTTTATAGTTGTTTGTTGATTTTGATTTTTGTTTCTTACAGTTATTCTTTTTCCTGGTCCCTTATTTAGGTTTTCTAGTTTCCCGCTATGAGTGAGACCATCCAGTATTTTTCTTTTTCTTTTTCTTTCTGGATTATTTCTCTGAGCATGATCCCTTCCAGCTCCATCCATGTTGCTGCAAATTGCATGAGTTTATCTTTTTTGATTGCCAAGTAATATTCCATTGTGTATATGTACCACATCTTCTTGATCCAGTCATCTATTTTTGGGCATTTGGGTTGTTTCCAAAGCTTAGCTATTGTAAACAGTGCTGCTATAAACACAGGGGTGCAGGTGCCCTTTGGAATTAATGTTTCTGTGTCCTTTGGGTAAATACCTAGGAGTGGAATTGCTGGATCATATGGAAGCTCCATCTTTAGCAGGTTGAGGAATCTCCACACAGCTTTCCATAATGGTTGGACCAGTTTGCACTCCCACCA